ACACAGGCATGGGCACTCACAGAAAAGAGATGCACTAAGAAGTATAGAAGTGCACAGACACACACAGAGTTCAGGAGAGTCACAGTGTTTCTCCTGTGTTGCACAAACTCAGCATCACTTGGATTTATGGAAGAATAGAATCACAAAAATGCACATTTTCAGACACACACAATATATAACATGTTCTTCTTCATGGATGTGAAAACTCACACGTATGACGTCATTAAAAAATTGCAAACAACAACAGGATGTAGATTTGAGGCGGTGGACTATCCCGAGCTGCTAAAAACCGACAGAGTGGAGCAGTACCACCAGAAATCAAACAATATAAACACGTTTCTAAAATCAGTCAAGAGTTTAAAATCCTGTAGTTTGTTAGATCTGTTTATCTGGATCTGCTCCTAAATTTGATGTTCATACCGCACCTCTTCAAATCACTTCATGGAAATCGGTGGAGTGTTTTCGTGTAATACTAATAACAAACAAACTATGATGGAAACATGACGTCCCTGACGGAGGTAATGAAGGAGCCCACGGTTGGTTTTGGTCTTTTAGAATGTCCTTTGATTGTGTGCATCGGTTTATAGTTCAGCTTCCTGCTCACATCCTTAGACGTGTGTTTAATTACTCCTCTTTACCCGTCTTTGTAAATATAGATGTTCTGAAATGTCATTATATTCATGAGCATTTCCGTTTCATCATCAATCACCAGTTAGAATTTGTTTTCTCGCTCTGAACGTTCCTGATTTCAAACGATTCCCCCGCACGGAATTATTGTGGAGCAATTCGGCTTTTTTCACAATTAACCTCTGCGTCGGCAGATCAGAGTCCACGAAGCTTGAAAGTGCAAATTGAAAACATGGTCCGGCTGAAATGTGCATCTTTCATGTTTTAAATCTGGTCCAGAGAGACGGAGACAATGAGAACGAATGAGCGGAGTTTCATTTGTCTTCCTCATGACAGTGGAAGGATTACCAGGAACTAATTGGACAGATTAACTTGGATTTGGCTGCGTCTCCTGTCACCCCTTTCTCCTCCCCTCCTCACCCTCTCCCTCCCTCTTTTCTTCAGGCTCCGCTCTCTTTCTTCCTCTTTTCTTTACTGTATATTTCTTGGCTCTCTCTAATGGTTCATGATGCAGGAGACTTTTTCTGTTGTTGCCCTCAGCGTGGTTCTATTTAATTTAGTTTTATTTCCTTTCCTTTTGTTGTGCGCTCTTTAATTCCAACCTCTGGATTGTGCTGATATGAAGCTTGCCGTCCTCGGTGTTATTGTTGGTGTTTATTGGTATTGTTATTGTTTTCAAAGCTCCATCTGTGGAGAACAAAGCCTTTTAGTTCCAACATGAATCCAGCCGTTTGTCTGTCGACCGGAGGAGGAGAGGACAAGGCAGCCTCTGTGGTTTACCGTTGGACCGGGTCCCGCTTCGCTCTGGCCGCGTTCCAAACTAGTTATCGTCTTTTCCCATTCCCCCTCTCGGTCTCTCTCTCTCTCTCTCCCTCTGTCATCTTCTGCTGCCTTTATCTGTCCCTCACTCCCTCCAGACCCACTCTCATTTTTACATGCACAGCTTTGTTTTTACTCTTCCTTTCTTTCTTTCTGTCTTTCTACGTGTGTGTGTGTGTGTGTGTGTGTTTGTGTGTGTGAGACAGGCAGTGACTCATATATTTTGTTTTAATTCCACGACGAGGACCATCAGTGTGAAGCACTGTTAGCATCGAGAGACCATGAAATCAATACAATTTATTAGACTGCCCTGCACTCGCCCGAGCATGTGTGTGTGTGTGTGTGTGTGTGTGTAGCCAGGTTTATGATGAGGATCACAAGTATTGATTTGAGCAGGGACAGAGAGAGAGAGGGAGGGATGGATGGAGGAAGAGAGAGTGGCGACGGGCATGGTGGTGGACAGACAGGCAGAGAAAGCAGCAGGTCTCCCTCTCACTCTATTTAAATGTCAACCATCTAATAACAGGTTGAGGCAAAAATGAAATGCTTCGACCCCTCAGCTATTAACACACACACACACAAGCCGTTGAGCAATAATATTTGTGCAGCAGCTCGGCAGACAATTACCTGTCCGTCCCAGTATCTTCACGACCTTCCTCCCTCTCTCTCTGTTTTCTTTCTTTCCCAGTTTTCTCTCAATGGTCTAAATGTCTCTTTATTAGTGAGCGATTAACATCTAAATGACTTCGCAGACCTCACACCTGTATTCTGCCCTCAGCTCTGTGTGTGAGTGTTTGTTTGACCTTGACAATGCTTTGTTATTGACACAAGTTTTATTAAGACCTGCTCACACACACACACACACACACACACACACACACATGCACACACACGTATAAAAACCTTTACATGCTCTGCTTAGATTTAATCTTGATTCGGTCACAACCCGACGCTTGTGTGTGTGTGTGTGTGTTTTTGGCTGTGCATGCGGATTTCTGTGCATTTGTGTGTGAGTGACAGGCAGATAATGGGCTGTCAGAACAAGGGACAAGTTTGTGTCCTTGTGTTGTCTTCCCCCGAGAGAGGAAGACCCAGGGAAAAACAGAAAATGAGACAAGAAGGGGGTTGTGGAGACACTTGCATCAGTATTTAAAATGAGATTTTCATGTATGGGAAGGACTCAGGGAGCAGGAGGGTTACAGCGAGGCAGAGATAGAACATCACCAGGTGATAAAATGATTATCGCTGTGAATTAAATCTTGTCAGTTCATTACAAGGAACAGTAAACAGAACTTTTAATTAAATTTGTTTTGGCTGCCCAGGGTTGTCCAGAGCCAATCTCAAAGATCACAATCAGAGTTAATCAAGGCATATTTATAATTGGCTCTATTGATCCTGAATACATTGTGTGTTCTTTCTGTTTTTTTGTCATTATAACATAATACCCCGATCCTTCTGCAGAGGATTGTATACGTCATGCTCGACCCAGAAGCCTCACCTGAACGGAGAGTCTCCGGTTGTTGTGAAGGTGTCTGACCCCGACAATCTTCTGCTGCGTTTTTCACACGTGAAAGGCAAAGTTTGGAGAATGTCTGAACCCCATTTTCCAGAGTTCACGTCTGAAAACGGCTTTAGAAACAAACTCACCCGTCTTAATTGGAAATCTCTGAAAATACAGAAAACTAAACTTTTCAAGCCCCAAAGTTCAGTTCCACTTTTTGAATACGTTTCAGACATCAGCCCCATGTAACAGATGTATACACTGCACTTTAACTCTTGTAGATCAAGCGGTAACTGCTGTGTGATTAGTAGAAGGAGCAGTTTGTCCTGTGGAGTAATAGCAGCCTTCTTGATTGAGAGATATCTTTTCGAGCCGGAGAAGTGGTTCCCTCAGCTCGAGAAATCGCTCTTCTGCAACGATTGATGGCTGCTAAAGATAATGGCTTTCCTACAGAGAAGGGCAGGTCCTCTAGGCAGATGAGGAGCCTGAGAAGTAGCCCCTCTGTGTAAGGTGGTCCACCCTCACTGTTGAATAGCAGTAGCGCGAGGCTGTATGGCCATTTACATCTAAATGCTGGGCTGTGTGGCCTGGAGTCACTCGGCTGGTGGGATGTGGAAGTGGACGGGGCTGGGGGGGTTATTGATCCAGTTAAATGAGCCAGTTAAGATAATTAAAGCCCCAGGCCGGCAGGAGAGGAGATTACATTGACTATAACAGTCCTGATTACACATAAAAGATGGAAATCAAAGACGTGCCTCGTAGAAGTTATTGCGTTTGAGGAGCAGTTGAATGGTAGCGAGGAGCAGAAATAGATGTTAGTAAAAACCCTCATTTTATAGAGGGAACAGTTGACTCAGCTCTCTTGGGCTTTTTTTTGGCAGACCAAGTACATTCGCAAGTACCGTGCACATAAATTAAAAACCTTCTCCAGTTTATTGAAGTCTCTTTGTGTGTGGATTCATCACAAAATGGCAAATGTTTCCGGTAACTCGGCTGCTCCTCTGCGCAGTGGTTGACCTTTTTTTCTCTGTGTTCTTCTCACTGTTCCTGTAGAACCTATGAGGACCCCCAAGAGGCTGAAGATCGCCGAGACCAGGTCCCGTCTGATCGCCGTGGACTGGGAGTCGTTGGGTTACAACATCACCCGCTGTCACACCTTCAACGTCACCATCTGTTACCATTATATGACGGCCAGCAACCGCAGCAAGGCCGACTGTCTGGACATGGACCCTAAAGGTACGTTTTAATGCACTTTATGTTACGGTGACTACAACGATGTGGGTTTTGCAGTAAATCCATTTTTCATAAGTTATTATTTGTATACCAATTAAAGGTTGTCCAGGAACTGTCACACTTACTTTTGTCTGCTTTATATGATTGTAAACTTAAAATCTTTGGTTGTTAAACTGAATCAATAATAAATAATCATTAAACATATACAGTTATTTTACTAGACATTTATTTTTCCCTTCTCAGCACCACGCCACCTGGTGGGAAACCTGCCGCCCTACACCAACGTCAGCCTGAAGATGATTCTCACCAATCCAGAGGGACGGAAAGAGAGCGACGAGACCGTCATACAAACCGATGAAGATGGTAAATGCCTGTAATATAGTGGATATTATTCTGACAGGTTAACACAACAGATGCTGTTGGAAAGTGGAATAAAATACAAAAACGAGTTATTGGATGTTGATGTGTTGGAGGATGTTTTTGGAAAATCTTAAAGCACAAAGTTTTAGAAATCACAGATGTGTGTATTCCTGTCGTTGGTGCGTCTCTTTCACTCCTAGGACAGAATCTTATTTTCATTCGCGTTGATTAACTGTCTCTGTGTATGTGTCAACAGTTCCGGGTCCAGTTCCCAGTCAGTCGCTAAGAGCCACTCCGTTTGAAGACAGAATTCTTCTCTACTGGAAGGAACCGGCTGAACCCAACGGAATCATCATACAATATGAGGTACTGACGGTCGAAGCTGTAGAAGGAGCTGATGAAGGAGCCACATGTTGGAAAAATATTAAATACTGGTTTCTGTCTCTCTGCGACACCTCAGATCAGCTACAGCGGCGTGCGTTCCTTCGACCCTTCGGTGCCTCTCCAGCGGCCGGGGCTCACAGCGTCTCTGCCCTCAAACGCCACCTACCACCTGTTTTCCCAGCTCCACCCGGGCGTCACGTATCATCTCTCCATACGAGCATCCACCTCCAAAGGATTTGGTCCCGCAACCACGCTCAACGTGACAACCAACATCTCAGGTAGAAAATAAGAACCGATGCTTAATGTTTTATCGTCACAATTGGTACAAAGTGACGTTAACACGCTGGTGGTGGTTTTTTCAGCCCCGACAATAGATGAGTACGACGGGTCAGAGGCTTTTCTGAATGAAACTGCAACAACCATCACTGTCCTGCTCAAACCAGCGCAGGCCAAGGGGGCGCCTATAAGGTACATACGGCCTGTATTTGGTTAGAAGGTTACCACATGAACATGTTACTACAGAGCTTGTTTATTGAAATTAGATTGATATGGAATTTTTCATTCTATTGTCTTACATATGAATTATTGTTTACGTTGTCTGCAGTGCGTACCAGATTGTGGTGGAGGAGGTGAATCCTCAGCGGACGCGACGCCAAGCTTCCTCTGACTGTTACGAGGTGATTATTAATCTGTTTCTACAATAGATGTAAGAAGCCAGACCGTTGCAGCTTTTATTTGCAAACATACATTTCCACTGCAAAAATTAGATTTTAGAGTAGAGTAGCTTTTATTTTTTCAAAAAAACTCATATAATTTCATTGCTTTCTTTTTGTTTACGTCATTTTTATGAACATATTATTCTTAATAAATCATCTTCCCCAGGTTCCAGTTTCCTACCACAGCGCGTCCAGCGGTGGATCTCCATATTATTATGCCGCCCAGCTGTCCCCCAGCAACCTGCCCGAGCCGCTCCCCTTCACTGTGGGCGACAACAAGACGTACCAGGCAAGTGTTTTCTACCTGAGCCTCACGAGTAATAAATCATAGTTAAATCATGAGATATAACACAGAAGGAAGTACTGTGGTGCACACTCACAATAAACAAGGTTTAACGAGTTAACAAGTGAAATCAGCGCCTGTATTTCACTTTATATAATGTCGATAATCACTTTCTTTTTTTTTTTATCTCCAGGGTTTCTGGAATCCTCCGCTGGCTCCAAGGAAGAACTACAACATCTACCTTCAAGCTGTTAGCAGCACAGAGCGGGTAAATAAACATGCATTTACTCTTAACGTACAAAGTCAAATTCTCTCGGTTTCATATTTCAGTGAGTTGTTTGTGGACTAATTGGTCTCAATGTGTCTTTTTCTTCAGGAAACTAAAACGCAGTGTCTGAGGCTGGCGACTAAAGGTGAGCGGACAAATCTGTCTACAAAACCGTCCCCAGTTTAAAGTATTTGAATGTTTTTGGTTGAATTGCTTTGTGTCAATAATGTTATCAGTCCCTTCCTTCTGAATGGAGTGGAGCTTGATAGAGAAGAATCCGTATTAAGAGTATTAGAGACGATAATACCACATTTGTGAATGCTGGAGAGAGAAAACATGTCAACGTCATGTATGTTTATCTGCACATTTAACTACTGGATGAGTCTAACATTTCATGCTTCTACAAGTGGCCATATGTTTATAGATTATCAGACTGGCTTAAAATGGTGCGGGGTTAATCCCTGGGCAACCTCGCACAAGTACACACGTGCACAGAAACACACATGTGCACAAACAGTGTTTTCAGGAAAGATGTTTAGAAATGTGGCTGGTGGATCAGAGTTTAGCCGTGCGGAGTAAGAACGAGGATAAACAGAAAAACACATTAACGTGTTTTCATTGAAACTGACGTGTACAGATGTGTGGATGTGCAGCGGAAAGGTTTTTAACAGAGAATTTTTTTTTTTTTATGTTTACGTGGCTCGTGCTGTGGAACACAATATTAATGTCTGTCTGTCAAACAACTGTCATCAGTTTAACTAACAATCATTTTATAGTTGGTATTGAAAATGGTGGGACTTATTTTGTATCAATGCACAAACATAAATACAATATCTAATATGAAACTGAGAAAGGCTGTTAACGTTCCACGTTTCATGAGCTGGAAATGAATGAGCAATAATCAATGATCAAGATAGCCAATTAGTATTTATCTGTTAAGTAATTGATCAATCAACAAAGAGTCTCAGCTCAATAGTTTGAGTACTGATCTACTGTTAACACACGTTTTTGACCTATAGATTACATATGTAGCCTCCATTTTCTTTTTATGAATAGAAGAAGATGCTGCGTCCTGTTCTGTTATCACAGCTGGAAACAGTGTCAGCGAGTCTCAAAGCACCATTGCAGAGCAGAATACTGATATGAATCAAGAAATATCATCTAGTCAGCCATTTCTGTGCTGAAGGTAGGGTCATCATCATCACTACCATCTGACGTCAGGGGCCTGATCATAGAGGAGCAGTTGTAGCTGTTGCACTAGAGAGGTTAGAGAGATCTTTCCAACATTAAATGAGATAAATACAATTTGTGCTGGTGCGTGTTGTTACTGGAACAGGTGGTTTCTTCACCCAACAGCAGAAAGAGAGCGCTCTGGTCTTTCCGGCCTCAGGGGGTCTGAGTGAAGCTGAAAGACTTTAGAGAGGATTCTAGATTTTTTTTTAATAACTGGGAGGAAGACGCACTAATGGACAGAGAGGTCGGACGACTGTCCCTTCTTTTTCTCTCTGTCCCTGTGTGTGTGTGTGTGTGTGTGCGCTCAACCGTGCGTCCGGGACGGAGGATTAAGTGATGATGGTCCTATTAGGTCATCTGGGGTATTGTGTATTGTCATTGCTGCCTCAGGGTGTTTCTTTGTGTGTGTATGTGTGTGTGGCGGTGTGTTACTTGTTGTTATGATTGTTAGTGTACTGACCTGGATAATTTTTGCAGACATTAAGAGCTACCGCCGACATTATGAGGTCAGACTCAGAACCCTGTGAAGTTTGTTTTTCCTTTTATTATATTTTGTCTCGTCCCTTCTACTCATGAAATTACCAATGGTTTCTTGGTCAGTTATAAAAGATAAAGATAAATTTACCAAGATATTAGATTTTAGAGGCTAAAACTGATACTGATATGTAAAAGTTTATGTTTTAGTTTTCAATTGTACATCATTCATCCCATAAATAGAAATTGATAAGGATATTTTTAGTTTGTTTAATTTGTACTGTGAGGAATTCAATGGAGAAATTCATTTTGTTAATATAAACCAATCAGAGCTGGACAGAGAGAAAAATACAGAATCATTTCTACAATATCTTTTTAAAGCAACATTTTTCGCCTGACATTACTGCTCATACTTCATCCATCAAGCCAAAGCCCACACGATGTGCTGGTGTAATATTGTTGCGTCATAATTTGGGACAAGGACGAGCACATGCCAAAGATTTTTTTATCTTGTTGATATTCAGCATTAGAAGTGGATTATTATTTGATAGCTGTGTTGCATTTTGTTGAGTTTTGTGCACGTCTTTGTGTTGGATTATCATAATGCATGATAATGTTCTTACGTCGCAGTATATACTACCCTGGTGTTATGAGATCAGATCACTAAGTAGAGCTTAGAAGCATGAAAACAGATGCTCTCCCGCTCTCTCTGTTGATTCTCTGTCTATGATCAACAGGCTTTAACCTCAGTCTGTCTGAAAAATGCATTTTCCATTTAGACAAAATCAGAGAGTTGAGTCAATTCTCTGAATTGAATCAGGAACAGAAATGAGTTTGAGTTCATGTAGCACACAGAGACATCGGAGCAGACGGACATCTGAGGTTAAATCTGATCATGTCACCCTATATTGTTTTACACTGCAGTCATAATAATGAAGAATTTACTGTAAATGTCAATATTTCAATCTATGAGTCAGACAAACCCTCTCACTTTATTGGCATTGTGACGGTTACCGTGACATTTGTGTTGGCATTCATCTGACTTTGCTTTACAGCGAATATCTAGAGTCCTGATATTTGCTTGATCCCGAGCACAGGCCGGATTAAACCTCCCTGATGAAAAGGCTCATCAGGACTTCATATCGCGCTCACCAGTTTCCTGATGTGAGGGTATTTTGTTAAAGACATCTTCAGGGAAAGATCATATTCCTGAGGCCGGTCGCTCAGGTGGCAGCGTTTGCCAGTTGCCAGCCAGAGGTGACGCCGGGTTGTGTAAATATTTCAACATAGAGCCAAGATTTGACATTATTTGTGTTATTGGCACACAGACTGTGCCATGTGAGGGAAAACTCTGAAATGTGGAAACGGTCTACTTAGCTGAAGCCTCAGGGCTCCTGGAAAGTTTATTTTACTGGCGGGTTTGGTTTTATTTGAACAGAGACAGAAGGTTTGTGTGATTAGAAACATTTTCACTTTTTCTTCTTATATCATGTGGCTCCTGACATAAACTCACTCAGCTACAGGAAAACTGAGGATTCATATGTTTATGCTTGATTTTTTCAGATTTTTCTTTCAGTTCATTAAACTCATTAGTAGTTTTTTTTAGCTTAAATACTTAATTTTAATAAATGTAATCATAGATTTGGTTGTAGACGAGGTTACAACCAACCCCCCCCCTCCGTTTGTTTGATTGTTTATGATTTCCATGAGACTTGGTGGAAGGATGTGTTATGGGTCAGAATCTTGGTGATGCGGATCCGGATTATTTCCACTTTGTTTAACATCACACTTTGTTTAGTTCGGTTCAGTTTGACGATACGCTTTTCTTCTGTCCCTGCGTAGGTGCTACAGAGGAGCCAGAAGTCATCCCTGACCCGGCTAAACAGACGGACCGGGTGGTAAAGATTGCTGGGATCAGTGCTGGTGTTCTCGTCTTTATTCTGCTGGTGTTGGTAGCCATCCTATTGGTCAAGAAGAGGTGAGTGATATGACATCATCGTGACCCCTCAACGCAGCTCCTATAAAGAGTTCATTGAAGTTCTCGTGAACAGTGCTCCACGTGCACACCGACACGCATGCAGATGCAAGAACACGTGGACACGAGCGTGCACCTGAATCCATTCTCTTGTTGTGTGTTGGTCAAGTATTTGATGTAGTAACGCCATCTTCCATCCATCCACCATTAACGTTGATCTCCCCTCAGAACCGGTTTCATCACTGATCATGTCGTAAGCAGCTGAAGCTTTATTCTCCACCAGATCCTATGAAAATACATTTTATACATCAGCAACTCCTGTTTTGCTGTCCTGTGATTTAGTTCTGAGGTTTTTTTTTTACACATTACAGCTTTTATAACAAACGAGATTAAACAACCAGTTAGAGCAGCTGGTGAAATCTATCCTCAAGCAGAAGATGTCAAGTAACTTTACCAGAATAATGGATTATGGAAACAAAGACATAAAAACATCCAATAGAAACAGAGAAGTAATTATTTGAAGCCAGTGGTGCAGGCTGACATTGTTTTTGCAGTTCTTTCTCATTCAGTGTAACGTGGAAATATTAACACTTGAATTTGGTTAGCACAGGTATAATTAAACCTTGATCAGAGAAAAAGAACCAAGTGAACATTAATGCTGAAAGAATATTTAGAAACATCAGCGTCTCCTCGTTCTTCATCTGTGAAGCATCTCGAGGTGTCGGAGTCGGTTCTGGTGTCGCTGGAACAGCTCTGTTGTCTTCATTTGGTTCAGAGCTCCCCCATGTGGTGGATGGACAGAATCACAGCATGAGCACCACACAGAGGCTGAATCACACAGGTCTTTTTCAGCAAAGCACAAAGACAATAGTGTGAAAACAACCTGGTGTTATTTCTGTGTTTTATCAGAATGTTTATCCAGAAAGTAAAACATAAAGATCAGCGGTATCGTCCTGTTTCTACATTAAGATGGTTCCACTACTGTTTGTCGAACGGTTGTTTGGTGTCACCAGAAGCTGTAAACATGAGAGCAGCATTATTCCTGAACACTGCAGTGCTGCTGGGTCGGCCTCAGACACACAGTCCCACATCTTCAGTCTTATGTCACAGTGTACACATCTGACACGAAAGCTCCATTCAGACATGAACTGAACTCTGGACATGAAAACAACGAGTGAATGGGACAGAAATGACCTTCGAGTAACTGAAAACGAGTTCTTGAAACTTCTTGGTCACATTTTGAGCTTCACTAAGTTCATTCAGACATTTCTAGATGGATTTATGACAAATTGTGAAGTAGCAGTAGAGCACTGATAAAATCCTCTGAACATTATTGAAAGCATTTGTGATTTTGACATCACCCTCATGAGCATGAAGTGAAGTTGTTCAGTCGTTCTCTCTCTCTTCCATGAAGGTTTCTGGGGAGATCAATCGTCATCGTCATTGAACCTTTACAACTTTGAACAATACTGCATCTTTAAAATAGTGGGACATGATGACATCACTATGACATCATGCTTGCTTTACAGGAAGCGAGCTGCGTGGTGTTACAGATCCGACAGCTCTGTTTCAGCTTTGACCGAATGTTAGGTGTCAGCGAGAGTGATTGGCTGATCAGGGCAAAATCTGTAGTTAGCTTTGAGGAAGCAGATTTTAAAATTTTTGCATGAATACTTTGAATACAACACAAGAAGGAGAGGAAGCATGTCGAGAGGTTAATCCTGATAGTTTCTTGTTTTTTTAGCAATACCTTTGGCTTGTTTTATATTATTTCAGAATTTCTAAAGTCATAGTGCCCATAGTAATTACAAGAACCCCTTGCATGACCCTCAAGTTTAACAATCGAAAGGTGTTTTCTTCTGTTTCTGTTGTTGCTGGTTGGGACAGGACAAGTATTGTCCTTATTTGCATATTCATGACCCCTGTGTCTCATTCTTTGCTTTCTGATTGGCTCACAACCCCCAGGAGGACCTACTATTCATACTCTTATTACCTGTAAGTAAACAAACAATCAGCTCACCCAGCCGCTGTTACCTTATTGGGCGAACTCTTAGTGGCTAGTTGTTGTTATTCTTTTAAAGATGCAGTATACTTTTTTCAAGACAAAACACATTTTCAGCTCTGACCAACCAGCCAAAGCCATCCTCATTGATGCCTCACCGGGGCGGGGGTCAATTCACTCTCATGTCAGTTCAGGATTGTAATCAGTTCAACACTTTTCTATTTTATATTATACACTTAAAACATCCAGAATGTTTTTGGAGAACGAATGAGATGATGTGTTACTGTCAAACAAATACTATGAACTAAACAAATGTTGAGTCGTTAGCTGATGAAATGTCGTCTTTCATTAAAGGGACTGAACTGACAGTGAATTGGCCTCGGGCCCGGTGTCCTCTACATGCTCCAAAGTTGCTCTGAAGCAGGCTCATGAAGGCCAGAGTTGGCCACAAACCAGAACAAAGCAGGCCAAAGTGGGACGACACGGGCCTTTGCGTGTTATTTGAAAAAAGAATGCTGCACTTGTGACTTGTAGCTCTTTGTGTGCATGTAGTCATGTGATCATCCATCCGCCCATCAAGTCACAGGTTTCATGGTAACTCTGCTACACGTGCACAGTGCGTCTCTCTCACTGTCGGTGGATCCGAACCAGGCGGCTCCTCCTTGTTGGGACTCACGGTGTCTGGTATTGTGTCGGTAGCTCTGATGACGGTTCTTCTTGTATCATGGGGACTTCCGGCTCTTCTCTGTCTCTCTGTGACCAAAATAGATCCATAAAACTGCACTGACTGCACTTAGAAGAGGTGGAGAACTGTTCAGCAGAGTGAGAATAATTAATAGATTGAATTGTGTCCTCAGCTTTTGTCTGCACTCAACATGAAAATAGATATAATTAATGAAGCAAAAGTAGAAATGCCACAAATCAAAAGAAATGCATTCAAAGGCTGCATCTAATCCGTTGTTTAAAACTTGTA